TGTCATGACTGTTGGGTCTGTTGGATTTCTATGACTCTACTACACCTGCTAGGAAATTATTTGCCATGTAGAAATATCATTTCCACCAAAAACAGCGATTGATCCAGTTAGTGATGTCTGACTGCTATTATTTTGAACACAACTGTATATATATATATTTTTTTTTATGCAAACAAGAGGAAATCTTCATTGAAAACGGATCGTTAGATATCCTTTCTTCATATATGTCCAATCACGGACTTTATTGGGGTATAAATTATATATCCCAATATCCATTCATGATCTCTCTCCATCTGACTAATATGTTCATGTCATTTATTTTAGATTTAGAAATATATTGCCATTAATAGATGTCACTCCTTTAAGGGATATCAGCCTCTTGAGGCTGGAAACATATTGACAATTTCTCATATCAGCAAGCCATTCATGACGATGATGAGATATAATGAAGGTAATACTATTTTAGTACTCCATGGAGTATCCACTAAATGTATTCTGAATCAGATTTATTTTGATATCATACTTATGAATATGGGGATCCTTTTTTACATATCATTCACTACTTATGTTGACTTCCTAGGATTTTTTTTTTCTACGTTACTTCTATATCCATATCTGATGATCATACATATGAAGTGAAAAGATGTATCTTCTTACAGCCATGTCACTATTGGAAATCAGCAAGGAACTCTGTGAAGCTAGAATCATTCAGACCATATTGAAGGTGGACTCTCCATACATGACTACAACCTCTCCTATATGAAGTTTTTTTCCTAAAGATATACATCGGTTTCCCAGCCATACACTTAACCACTTGAGCTCCTGAGGATTTACCCCCCTTAATGACCACGCCTCTTTTTGCTGTTTGGCGCTGCACTAATTCAAATGATAATTGCGCGGTCATGCAATGCGGTACCCAAACGAAATTTACGTCCTTTTTTTCACACAAATAGAGCTTTCTTTTGGTGGTATTTTATCACCAGTGCGCTTTTTATTTTTTGCGCTATAAACAAAAAAAACACAAATATTTTGAAAAAAAAAACTATATTTTCTACTTTCAGCTATTAAAAATATATCGTAAACTCAAAGTTAGTCATAAGTTTAAGCCAAAATGTATTCTGCTACATGCTTTTGTTAAAAAAAAAAATCCCGTGCATTAGCGGGCAAACTGGCGCTATATGGGAGGGGCGCTAACACTATCGGAAGTCACCAGTGACACTAATACAGTGATCAGTAAAAATCTGTTCACTGTAATCAATGACACTGGTGACAGGGCAGTGAAGGGGTTAACTGGGGGGTGGGGGGCGATCAAGGGGTTAAATGGGATTACTGGTGTACTGGCGGGCAAACTGGCGCTATCTGGGAGGGGCGCTAACACTATTGGAAGTCGCCAGCGACACTGATACAGTGATCAGTAAAAATCTGTTCACTGATCAGTGACACTGGTGACAGGGCAGTGAAGGGGTTAACTCGGGGGGCGCGATCAAGGGGTTAGACAGGATTACAGGTGTATTAGCGGGAAATCTGGCGCTATCTGGGAGGGGCGCTAACACTATCGGAAGTCGCCAGCGACACTGATACAGTGATCAGTAAAAATCGGTTCACTGATCAGTGACACTGGTGACAGGGCAGTGAAGGGGTTAACTGGAGGGGGGGGGAGATTAAGGGGTTAAATGGGATTACTGGTGTACTAGCGGGCAAACTGGCGCTATCTGGGAGGGGCGCTAACCCTATCGGAAGTCGCCAGCGACACTGATACAGTGATCAGTAAAAGTCGGTTCACTGATCAGTGACACTGGTGACAGGGCAGTGAAGGAGTTAACTGGGGGGGGGGATTAAGGGGTTAAATGGGATTACTGGTGTACTGGCGGGCAAACTGGCGCTATCTGGGAGGGGCGCTAACCCTATCGGAAGACGCCAGCGACACTGATACAGTGATCAGCAAAAATCGATTCACTGATCAGTGACACTGGTGACAGGGCAGTGAAGGGGTTAACTGGGGGGGGCGATCAGGGGGTTAAATGTGACCTAGTTGTGTTCTAACTGTGGGTATGTGCGGTTTTACTCACTTTTACTGTGTCTTCTTCTCTTTCTGGAACAGAATGTGTCCAGGCAGAGAAGAATGACATCATATCTTGTCCTGTGTAAACTTCAACACAGGACAGGATAGGACAGGGACTGATCATCTGATTTCAGCCAGACATCACTGGCTGAAATCTAATGATTGATCCCTCCGGGTCGAATGGTGTCACCCGTGGGTCGGCGGGAGCGCGCACACGCCCCTGCCGGCGAAAACGTTGGGAGCGCGGAACCAGTTTTAAAACGTGGTTTTGCGCCTGAGTGCCGCCCTGCACACGTATATATACAGTGGTAGGACGGCAAGCGGTTAATCACCATGATTCAGCTAAATGTACACGCAGGACATTTTTGTTTTTAATTCACTGGTTTTATTTTTTTGATTGACTGTGCGTTCACCATGTCATATGCCCACTGTATCTGAAGATCCTAGTGATAATAAAGAAATTAACGTATTTTTCGCTCCATAAGACGTGCCTAGGTTTTAGAGGAGAAAAACAAGAAAAAAAATATTCTGAACCAATAGACTGCAGACACGGCCCAGGGGATGACCAGAGACTGCGGACACGGCCCAGGGGATGACCAGAGACTGCGGACACGGCCCAGGGGATGACCAGAGACTGCGGACACGGCCCAGGGGATGACCAGAGACTGCGGACACGGCCCAGGGGATGACCAGAGACTGCGGACACGGCCCAGGGGATGACCAGAGACTGCGGACACGGCCCAGGGGATGACCAGAGACTGCGGACACGGCCCAGGGGATGACCAGAGACTGCGGACACGGCCCAGGGGATGACCAGAGACTGCGGACACGGCCCAGGGATGACCAGAGACTGCGACACGGCCCAGGGGATGACCAGAGACTGCGGACACGGCCCAGGGGATGACCAGAGACTGCGGACACGGCCCAGGGGATGACCAGAGACTGCGGACACGGCCCAGGGGATGACCAGAGACTGCGGACACGGCCCAGGGATGACCAGAGACTCGGACACGGCCCAGGGGATGACCAGAGACTGCGGACACGGCCCAGGGGATGACCAGAGACTGCGGACACGGCCCAGGGGATGACCAGAGACTGCGGACACGGCCCAGGGGATGACCAGAGACTGCGGACACGGCCCAGGGGATGACCAGAGACTGCGGACACGGCCCAGGGGATGACCAGAGACTGCGGACACGGCCCAGGGGATGACCAGAGACTGCGGACACGGCCCAGGGGATGACCAGAGACTGCTGACCTTTGGGGAGGGAGGGGGAACGGGTACCTGAATTTGACAGGTACCCGCTCCCACTTCCACGGAGTTGTCCTTCCTCCTCCTTCCCGCGGCTTCTGTGACAGCCGTGTGCCCACTGCGCATGCGTGAGAAGCGCTGCGCTTTGTGAATGGCCCGGAGCCTTCTGGGATCTGTCATGTGTCCTCACGCATGCGCAGTGGGCACCCGACTGTCACATAAGCTGCCGTGGGAAGACTTCAGCGCTGGAGCGCGGAACAGGTAAGGTCCTGCAGGAGAGAAGAGCTGAGCGGCTGGCCCGATATTCTGACATGGTGGCGGAAGAAATACCGGACCGCCGCTTTATATTTGCTTCATAAGACGCACTGACATTTTCCCCCTTTTTTTTGGGGGAAAAAAGTGCGTCTTATGGAGCGAAAAATACGGTATTTGCATCTACTATTGATGTTTTTTGATTAATCTGCATTGGATTCAAAATACCGTTTGCAGTTTGCTCTAGTCGACAGAAAAAGTTAGCAAATATGCTTATATTCGTTTTTATAATCCACACCCCAATGTAGGGTTAGTCGGAGAGACACAATGGTGGTTACACCTTATATGATGGCATTTCCCCTTTTTTTGTTTATACTATTATAACATTGTTGACTTCCTACACTGGTCTGCTTATTATTCCGTTTCTATGTTTTTTACACATAATATTTTCCATGCTCCTTTCATTTATTTTGCAGGGGTTTGTAGTAGGTCTCTGCCCTGTAGTTTCTTCTGTTGACTAGTAGTAATGGCCTTGTAGTCCTATTGGACTATCCTGTGAAGGAAGATTGCTCATTCACCAATGCAGCGTACTACTTCCAGTTTGTTAGAGCACAGGCTCTCACAATGTACCCCCGCTCTCCATGCGGATTGCTTGGCATTTACAGGTAGGACTGGGCCGACTGAACTCATTGCCAAGATTTTACCATTCTCCATGCGGATTGCTTGGCACTTACAGGTAGGACTGGACCGACTGAACTCATTTCACACTACATCCTCTGGGATAATTTTCCATGTAGGAGGTATTGGATTTAGACAACATGGGTGGATAAAAGATAGTTTTTAATTTATTCCTACTGCAAGACTTGTGAGAACCTCTATACTTTGTGAGAGAAGAAAAAAAAAAAAAAAAAAAGTTGTCATCACAGAGTGGGGGGGGGGGGGGGGGGGGGGGGGGGGGGTGAAATTTTCAATCTGTTGTAATTAGAAATGTACACCTCATATTGCCAAGATTTTACCATTCATATCCAGCATAACACATCAGTATTCTCCTGCAATATTATTTTATTGCCTGTCAGAACACACATCTTACAATAATGGTCAGATAAATATTTCCATCTTCAGGAATCATAAAAAAAAAAACTGTTCTCCAGATGTTCAACATTCTCATCCACTAGATTGAAAAGAACAATGATTTAACCGTCTCTCTGGCTCAGACTCTCCATACCATCCATGATCAGCACTCCTACCACAAGCAGGGAACACATCCTCCAATCACAGTCCAGCTGGCTGTATAAGGCACCATCTGACTGGTGGTTAAGTCCTGCACAGAACCAGAACCAATCATCTGATTGAACAGTCTCAGCAGTCAGCCAGTGTTTCCATTAAACACGGTGTTGGCCCAGCTCCTCAGAGGGGATGACGCGCCCCTCGGCTTCAGTCCATCTGCGCTGCATCCAACTCATTCAGGAAGCGGCGACATTTCCCCATCAGAACCATGATGGCTTCTTTCATCAGGACATCGGGGGCCAGGATGCCAGTGGACTCTATGGAAACTGAAAGGGGAGAAAAAAAACGGATTCAGGACACCTCTATTGATTAAGAGGGTGGATATAGAGAAAGCTAAATGCTCCACCTGTTGGCTCTACCCTTCCTTCAGCCAGAGCCCCCCCCCCCCCCCCCGAAATTTCTAGTGCCTTGAGTTGAAACAGTACATGTGTCAGTGCGTTGTGATTGTCAATGGCATCACAAACCACCACTTATGCAACCTCAGCTGCAATGGAACACCATGGAACTGGTACATGACAGAGTCTTGGTGCATTGGCAGGCAATTCATTTAAATGGGCTGTCATAATGCAGTGTACATGAATTAATACGACATAGTAAATGGTCCTTGTGCTCAGCCTCTGTGGGCTGTCCTTCCCTCAGGCACGCCCTCAAATCTAGCTCAGTGTTGGGGTCAGCACACAGAGGGGTCCCTGTGCTCAGGCTCTGTGGATGGTCCTTCTCCCCCAGGCACCACCCTCCAATCTAGCTCAGTGTTTGGGCATGCAGAGGGGTCCCTGTGCTCAGGCTCTGTGGGGGGTCCTTGTCCCACAGGCACCGCCCTCCAATCTAGCTCAGTGTTTGGGCATGCAGACAGAGGGTCCCCACTCCTGCTCAGGCTCTGTGGGCTGTCCTTCCCCCAGGCACCGCCCTCAAATCTAGCTCAGTGTTGGGGTCAGCACACAGAGGGGTCCCTGTGCTCAGGCTCTGTGGATGGTCCTTCTCCCCCAGGCACCACCCTCCAATCTAGCTCAGTGTTTGGGCATGCAGAGGGGTCCCCTGTGCTTGTCAGGCTCTGTGGGCGGTCCTTCTCCCCCAGGCACCACCCTCAAATCTAGCTTAGTGTTGGGGTCAGCAGACAGAGGGGTCCCTCTGCTCAGGCTCTGTGGGCGGGGGGTCCTTGTCCCCCAGGCCCCACCCTCCAATCTAGCTCAGTGTTTGGGTACGCAGACATAGCAGTTCCTTTACTTTGCATTTATGAAGATTTTCTTCTCATTCCAGCAGCTCCCTCTGCAGTACAGACTTCAGGCGGATGGCGTCCAGCGCCACACCAAACCCCAAGGGGTGGAGATCTGCTGATGGAGAACGCCTTGCTAACCCTTTTGGTGTGGTAGTCTTTGGTGCCTCTCAACTCCCACAATCCCTGCTGTAGGACAATCTCCATACAGTAATACACAGGGCACACCATACTCACAGATAAAATGGTCTCGCACCCGTGCCATGCGCACCAGGTTTTTCAGGTCCTCGTGGCGGAAGATCTCTCTGCTACACGTATCCATCCGCGAGTTCTCTACACGGGCCACTTTCTTCCCTGCAAAAAATAACACTGCATTATGGCCTATGGATGCCCTAGTGATGGGGGGGGGGGGGGGGGGGGGGGGGGGGGGGGGGGGGGGGGGGGGGGGGGGGGGGACTCCATTACGGTCTATGAATTCCCCAGTGATGGGAGGGACTGCATTACGGCCTATGGATGCCCCAATAATGGGTGGGAAGCTGCATTACGGCCTATGGATGCCCCAGTGATGGAGGGGGGGAGTGCATTACAGCCTATGGATGCCCCAGTGATGGGTGGGGAAGCTGTATTACGGCCTATGGGATGCCCAATGATGGAGGGGGGGGGGGGGGGGGGAGTGCATTACGGCCTATGGATGCCCCAGTGATGGGGGGGGGGGGGGGGGGGGGGGGGGGGGGGGGGGGAGTGCATTACGGCCTATGGATTGCCCCAGTGATGGGGGGGGGGGGGGGGGGGGGGGGGGGGGGGGGGGGGGGTGAGGGGGGGGGGGGGGGGGGGGGGGGGGGGGGGGAGTGCATTACGGGCTATGGATGCCCCAGTGATGGGTGGGGGGGGGGGTGCATTACAGCCTATGGATGCCCCAGTGATGGGTTAGGAAGCTGTATTATGGCCTATGGATGCCCCAATGATGGGGGGGGGGGGTGCATTACAGCCTATGGATGCCCCAGTGATGGGTGGGAATCTGTATTACGGCCTATGGATGCCCCAATGATGGGGGGGGGGGGGGGGTGCATTACAGCCCATGGATGCCCCAGTGATGGGTGGGAATCTGTATTACGGCCTATGGATGCCCCAGTGATGGGTGGGGAAGCTGTATTACGGCCTATGGATGCCCAGTGATGGGTGGGAAGCTGTATTACGGCCTATGGATGCCCCAGTCTTCTACACAATGCAACTAAATGGTGAAAGCACCCCCAGCATACTTATTGGTGAGAGACTGGCACACAAGCAACAAGGAGGGGGAACTCTGCTCCCCACCACTGTTATCTCTCTCTCTCCTCCAAAAACAAGAGCGACCAACAGACGGAGTACTAGGAGAAGAACAATGCTCACCACAAACCAACCCCCCAGTCATTCTCCATGATGATGGAAGAGACCAGCAGACTTCCCGAGTACCAGGAGAATGTCAGCACTCTCCACCAGTGTGACCGCACACCAATCCCCCCAAATCCTCTCCACTGACAGACTTAACCAGCATGAGGAGGATGACACTCACCATTCACATCATCCACCATGATAACTCCAGGCGAGAAACATTTCTGCAGCCTCTCCGCCAGGTCGCCCTCTATGGGGTGCAGCAATGTGATTTCCGGCAGTAAGCGGTAACTGGCTGTGGCCACGGGGGAGAACTTGGCGTGGTCCTTCCCTGCAGGGAACACACAGAGTTCAGCACACATTCAGGCCCTGCTCACACATGCAATGCCTTTTTACCTCACTTTTGTGATTTATTTTTTTTTATTAGATTTCCAAAATATAACAATGGGTTAATAAGACACTGATAGTAGGAGGAAAAAAAAAAAAAAAAAGTACAATGTTGACTATGCCCTGGAAGAAGGAACACAAGAGCCTGAGGATAATAAAAATACTTTTTACATAGAAACTGGATGAATGATAATGGTTTCAAGTCGGTTTCCATCTACCAGTGGGGCAAAAAAGTATTTAGTCAGCCACCAATTGTACAAGTTCTCCCACTTACAAAGATGAGAGAGGCCTGTAATTGGCATCATAGGGAGACCTCAAATATGAGAGACAAAATGAGAAAACAAATCCAGACAGACAATCACATTGGCTGATCTGGAAAGAATTTATTTGCAAATTATGGTGGAAAATAAGTATTTGGTGAATATGAAAAGTTCATCTCAATACTTTGTAATATATCCTTTGTTGGCAATGACAGAGGTCAGACGTTTCCTGTAAGTCTTCACAAGGTTGGCACACACTGTTGCTGGTATGTTGGCCCATCCTCCATGCAGATCTCCTCTAGAGCAGTGATGTTTTGGGGCTGTCGCTGGGCAACACGGACTTTCAACTCCCTCCAAAAGGTTTTCTATGGGGTTTAGATCTGGAGACTGGCTAGGCCACTCCAGGACCTTGAAATGCTTCTTACGAAGCCACTCCTTCGTTGCCCGGGTGGTATGTTTGGGATCATTGTCATGTTGGAAGACCCAGCCACGTTTCATCTTCAATGCCCTTGCTGATGGAAGGAGGTTTGCACTCAAAATCTCACGATACATGGCCCCATTCATTCTGTCCTGTACATGGATCAGTCGTCCTGGTCCCTTTGCAGAGAAACGGCCCCAAAGCATAATGTTGCCACCCCCATGCTTCACAGTAGGTATGGTGTTCTTTGGATGCAACTCAGCATTCTCTCTCCTCCAAACACGACAAGTTGTGTTTCTACCAAACAGTTCTATTTTGGTTTCATCTGACCATATGACATTCTCCCGATCCTCTTCTGGATCATCCAAATGCTCTCTAGCAAACTTCAGACGGGCCCGGACATGTACTGGCTTAAGCAGGGGGACACGTCTGGCACTGCAGGATCTGAGTGCCTGGCGGCGTAGTGTGTTTCTGATGGTAGCCTTTGTTACGTTGGTCACAGCTCTCTGCAGGTCATTCACTAGGTCCCCCCGTGTGGTCCTGGGATTTTTGCTCGCCGTTCTTGTGATCATTTTGACCCCACGGGGTGAGATCTTGCGTGGAGCCCCAGATCGAGGGAGATTATCAGTGGTCTTGTATGTCTTCCATTTTCTAATTATTGCTCCCACAGTTGATTTGTTCACACCAAGCTGCTTGCCTATTGCAGATTCAGTCTTCCCAGCCTGGTGCAGGTCTGCAATTTTGTTTCTGGTGTCCTTCGACAGCTCTTTGGTCTTCACCATAGTGGAGTTTGGAGTGACTGTTTGAACTTATCAGTATAAAAGACACCTGTCCACAACCTCAAACAGGTGCCATTGATACAGGTAATGAGTGCAGGACAGAGGAGCCTCTTAAAGAAGAAGGTACAGGTCTGTGAGAGCCAGAAATCTTGCTTGTTTGTAGGTGACCAAATACTTATTTTCCACCATAATTTGCAAATAAATTCTTTCCAGATCAGCCAATGTGATTGTCTGGATTTGTTTTCTCATTTTGTCTCTCATAGTTGAGGTCTCCCTATGATGCCAATTACAGGCCTCTCTCATCTTTGTAAGTGGGAGAACTTGTACAATTGGTGGCTGACTAAATACTTTTTTGCCCCACTGTATATACAAAGTTTGACTAGAGGAGATTCCCAGAGCACTGAGTTAGCAGCAGGCTCCATGCATGTTCCAGGTCTGCCTTATAAGGTAGTGAAGCCAAGGATAACAAAGACCACTCGGGGAGACGGCATACTGAAGTCAACAAAGACAGCTCCCATGTTTCTATCCCACCCCATCCTAATCCACACCCTGCCCTTTCCAGGTATCTTACCAACTCCCTTGACGCAATGCACGATGACGTGGATCTCCTGGCCGGGCCGAAGCTGAGCGATGAGGATGTCGCTGTGCACGGGCCGAGGCGGGTCAGTGTCATGGAAGAGATCCGACTGGTTTCCCTGTGGGAGCCACTTCATGTGACTGGTGTATACTGCAGAGGAAAGCAACAGGGTTAGGGGAGCCCAAAAAGGAGAGGGAAGCCTTATTGAGGGGGCAGGTTCTAGAGGGATTGGGCAGTCCCTAGGTGGTGAGGCCCAAATTAGGGTTAGGGGCAATTGTCAGAGGAGGTGATGAAGGAATCCAAAAAGGACAGGGAAGCATCGGGGGAGGCCCAAGGGGAGAGGGAAGCTTCATTGAAAGACTTGCTCTGGAGGGAAGGGACAGCCCTGGAGTGGGGTGGGAGGCCCAATTAGGGTTGGGGGCAACCTTGGAAAGAGGGGATGAGGGAGTTAGGAAGGACAAGACAGTGTCAGGGAAGTCCAACGGAAGAGGGAAGCTTCATTGGGGGCACATTCTGAAGGCATGGGGCAGCCCCTAGATCGGGTGTCGGCAACCCGCGGCTCCAGAGCCGCATGCGGCTCTTTTTCACCTTGGCTGCGGCTCCGGAGCACACTGCCCACCAGGTGACAGGCAATAGGGCAGCATGGGCAAACTACGGCCCGGCGGACCTTTTAATCCGGCCCGAGGAGCTAGGCTCCCGCTAGGCTCCTCTCACAGTCCGCCCTGAAGACCGGTGTAGCATGAAAATCTGTCTCCTATGAGGATCTGTCCCCCTCGACGTATCTGCGCATGTGCTGGAGATCGCCGATCGGCTGCGAATGCCTGAAACTGGCACATGCGCAGATACGTCGAGGGGGACAGATCCTCATAGGAGACAGATTTTCATGCTACACCGGAACGGCGCGGGAACACGGCGAGAGGAACGCGCGGAGCAAAGGTAAGTGAATTGACACAGGGGGGACTTGGGGACTTAATATGGGATGAATTACTGTATGGGGGATGAATTACACTATGAGGGATGAATTACTATAGGGGGGATGAATTACTATAGGGGGGATGAATTACTATGGGGGGGATGAATTACTATAGGGGGGATGAATTACTATAGGGGGGATGAATTACTATGGGGGATGAATTTTCAGTTTTTAAAAATGTGGCTCTCAAAATAAATTTCAATCGTGGTTTTGGCGAGATTTGGCTCAGTTGAAAAAAAAAAAGGTTGCCCACCACTGGCCTAAGGCTATGATTGTGATTATGATGATACACTGTGGCCCTGATTAACCCTTTGCTTACTGGGCCCTTAAACCCCCTTCATGACCAGAGCGCTTTTTGCAATATATGCAGTGTCGGATTTGTTTTAAATGTTGCAATGGTTTTGCGGCTCCCAGTCTTTTTTTCCCTCTCGGAAACGGGTCCAAGTGGCTCTTTATGTCTTAAAGGTTGCAGACCCCTGCCCTAGATGGTGTCGGGGGCAACTTCGGGAGGAAGGGATAAGGGAGTCCAGGACAGGGCAAGGTCAGGGGAGGTTTGAGGAAGAAGGAAGCCCCATTAGGGAGCCAGTTCTGGAGAGATGTGACAGCCCCGGGGTGTGGGGTCCAATTATGGTTAAGGGGAGGGGGCTTTGAAGAGATGGAGCAGCCACTTGTACTCTGGGGGTAGAATCAGCAGGGGCCCTTGAGAGAACAGAGACCCAAATGGAGAGCAAGCATCTCACCTTTATGGTCCAGGTAGAGCTCGCTGGGATCGGAGGAGTCCTTAGCCGCACGGGGGTTCCGCGTACATCTCACATTCAGCTCAAACTGCAATGTGTCAATCTCCGTTCCTTCTGCGTCATCTAGGGGGCGACAGCAGCCATGAAGGACTTTGACAGTCTCGTATTACATGCAGCTGGGTACACCCATGAGAAGTTACCTTACCCGAGTTCCGATACTCAAACAGGCGGGGATCGGTGCGGATGGGGATGAGGCCCAGGCGGTGGGCGAGGATCTCGTCCTGTATGATCGATGTGTTCTTATAGACGTAAACTTTCTCTATGGCCATGGTGGGGACCTGCGGGGGAGAACAGGGAGATAACCCCCTCAGACTGAGCACAGGGGGAGAGGGAACTTGGATTTTGGCTGTTTTTGGTGGAGTGCTGAGGGTGCAGAGCCTTGTCTGGTCTGGGGAGATTATCCTCCACTTCCTGTCCTGGAGGCAGATAAAGCCCACCCTATTTTCTGGCTGGAGGACATCCAGCATCATCTAGCGCTTTCTTCCCCAGCCTGACTCTTCCTAAGAGGCAGCCCATTGCTTGAATCAGTGCAGAGGGATCCTGAGAGAAGTACTGAGGCAGAGGAAACTATGTACAGCTCCCTGCTGGCCCCTTCCACCAGCCATGACAAGGATGCTAAATTTGTGTTGCCCGACACATGTAGTCTTAGGTAGGTAGCTTTTTTCAACCTTTAGCCCCATCAGGGCTCGCCTGTCAGGTGGAAGCATTCGGGAGGCAGAGGTACTGCCCGATTGCTTCCACGCAGCCCACGGTGCCAGCCTCCGTTTCCCCCCCTGTTCACCCCCCCCCCCATGTGAACCTCCCCACTTGCCAAGTATCTCGGTCTCCGCTCGCCCATCTGCGGTGCCCGAGACTGGCTCAGTGTGTGCCGGCATCTAGAGGGGGTGGAGAGAGAACGAACAAGTCCGCTCCCCTCCCCTTCTTGTCCTGACCCAGAAGTGATGTTTGACATCACTTCCAGGTCCCCATTCACAGATTCTCGACTGGGAAAGAATGTAATGCAGTGTGATGTGCACTGCATTACATTCAGGGGAGCACAGGGGAGACATTGGGGGTCTTTTAGACCCTGCATGCCTCATTAAAGAGAACCTGTCACCAAAAAATCAACACATAGGGGACTTTTTGTCCCCCATGTGATGAAAAAAAAAAAAAGTTAAGTAGAAAAAAAATATATTTTTTTACTAGTAAAAAAAAAAATCAAAGCTGCACCCAAGCACATTACATTCTTTCAAAAAAAAAAAAAAAAAAAAAAGGAAAAATTTGAGCCCCCACATATACGCACGCACAAAAGTAAACGCTCACGCCGGGGCGCCTACGCATGAAAACAACGATTGCAATACACGTTATATATCGCCGCGCGCAAGAATGAGAGCAATAATTCTAGCACCAGACCTCCTCTACACTGATGATCTATAAAAAAAAATATAGGGTACTGAAGTTTGTCGCCATTTCACGAGCGCACGCAAATTTAAGGTTTGACATGTTGGATATCTGTTTACTCGGTGGAACTTCATCTTTTATATTTTACCAAAAAATAGGGTAATTTATTGCTTTTTTGTGCCCTAAAATTAATTTTGTGTATTTTTTACTGAAATTTTGGAGTTTCCTAGACCTTTGTGATAATATCATGCGACATAAACTGGACCTGCCACTATTTTATTCTCTAGGGTCTCCAATTTCAGAAAATATATAATGTTCGGGGGTTTTGTGTAATCTTCAGGCCTAAAATGGTTTTTTAAACGTGTGCAAAAACGGCTCTGGCAGCGAAAGAGATAAAGGATAAGCCGGACACTCCCCTTTCCTGAGGAGCAGCCAATCGGTGCTCATTATACTGCAAGGTCTCTCCCCTCCCTGCTACTCCCCGGGGGCGGTGCTGGAGACAGGCAGGGAGTGGAGGAGGAGATAAACAGTGCAATGTTAAAAAAATTAAATGCTTAAGTCGCCATAAAGTCGCTTTTGTTTTTAAAAGCCTCAGACATCCTAACAGCACCTTAGATTTAAATACGGTTTTGATTAAAATTGATTTTTTTTTTTTATATCTGGACAAGAAGATTGTCATGAGGGACAAGTAGATTGGGGCCCCGATTTAGTCCCTGGACAAGTAGTTTTTTCAAAAATTTCCACATCTCCGCATAACCTGTCTGCGCTGCATAGAGAAGCACAGAGACCCATTCTAAAATAAGGTATGCAATGAGAATGGAAAGCTTTTACATATTAATGTCAATAGAAAGTTGATGAGGAGAAAAGGAGGAGCCAAGGAACAGAATTTAAGCCAATTAAACTTTATCTTTAATATAAAAAGGAAAACCCAGGAAATAAGGGGGCGATCTCCTGCCTCACCACCCACCTATCAGATCTCTGGCCCACCTTTCAGGTCTCCCACCTATCACCTATCAGATTTCCAGCCCCCCTATTAGATCTCCTGCCCCACCCACCTATCAGATCTCTGGCCCACCTGTCAGGTCTCCCACCTATCAGATCTCCTGCCCCACCTATCAGATCTCTGGCCCACCCACCTATCAGGTCTCCCACTTTTCAGATCTCCTGCCCCACCCACCTATCAGATCTCTGGCCCACCTTTCAGGTCTCCCACCTATCAGATTTCCAGCCCCCCTATTAGATCTCCTGCCCCACCCACCTATCAGATCTCTGGCCCACCTGTCAGGTCTCCCACCTACCTATCAGATCTCCTGCCCCACCTATCAGATCTCTGGCCCACCTATCAGATCTCTGGCCCACCCACCTATCAGGTCTCCCACTTTTCAGATCTCCTGCCCCACCCACCTATCAGATCTCTGGCCCACCTTTCAGGTCTCCCACCTATCAGATTTCCAGCCCCCTATTAGATCTCCTGCCCCACCCACCTATCAGATCTCTGGCCCACCTGTCAGGTCTCCCACCTATCAGATCTCCTGCCCCACCTATCAGATCTCTGGCCCACCCACCTATCAGGTCTCCCACTTTTCAGATCTCCTGCCCCACCCACCTATCAGATCTCTGGCCCACCTTTCAGGTCTCCCACCTATCAGATTTCCAGCCCCCCTATTAGATCTCCTGCCCCACCCACCTATCAGATCTCTGGCCCACCTGTCAGGTCTCCCACCTATCAGATCTCCTGCCCCACCTATCAGATCTCTGGCCCACCCACCTATCAGGTCTCCCACTTTTCAGATCTCCTGCCCCACCCACCTATCAGATCTCTGGCCCACCTATCAGGTCTCCCACTTATCAGATTTCCAGCCCCACTATTAGATCTCCTGCCCTACCCACCTATCAGATCTCTGGCCCACCTGTCAGGTCTCCTACCTCTCCTGCAATGCCCACCAATCAAATCTATCTTTTCTGCCCCGCCCACCTACTGAATCCATCATACCTCGGCCAGCAGGATGCGCCGAAATGCATTCGCCATCGCCGCGTCTATTCCGACCATATCGAATTCCAGGAGGTCGTCCTCCATCTTGGTGATCTCCATCCGGAAATTCTGCAGAGGAGACAGAGAAGAGGGATGGAGAGGTCTTTGGGTAAAGAACAACCCCTCCCACATAGGTCATGTGACATGCCACCACCTACGGAGGAAATATGGACACAGCTGACAGTCATGTAACATTTCAGAATGAAGTCATCAAGAGCCTGCGCCGACTCCAGGGACCGGAGAGTACTGAGTTCCACCTACCATGGCTGCCTTTGGGTTAATGGGAAGATGGAAGTTAGAGGTTCACTCCACCCATAATTAACCCCCCCCAGGGTTTGGCGGATGGGGTCCTCCATCTAATATACTCTGCAGGCAATGGGTCAAGCAGTGCAGTATGTGAAGCGTCATTATAGAAAAAAAAGACGAAATTTCATTTAGGTGCAGCGTTGCATGACCGCGCAATTGTCCGTAATGCAAAAAATGGCCTGGTCAGGAAGGGGGGGGGGGGGGGATCCTCTGGAGGGGGAGGGGTTAAGGGCTCATTGTCTGGCCACAGGAATGTGTGGTTTGGAGGCGCCTCTTAGGCTCAGTTCACATCTCTAGGTGCGATCACGTGCAGGCGTGTTTTTAGCGTGTCACGTTGGCGGCCCGTGCACTTCATGCAGTTTGAGTCTTTGCCAGAAATGCTCTGCAGCAACACGATGCGGTCTGGCATGTCTGGGGATGCATGGGGGTGTCATGAACAAGTGATGGTGTCACCAGGCGGCTTCCCATGTCCTGCTCTATGGGGACGCAGTGGTTGTACAAACAGCTGGAGGTCCCAGTGGCCGTACACCGGGGGGGGGGGGGGGGGGGGGGGGGGGGGGAGGGGCCCTGTCAAGAGGCAGTTTGGGGCCCCATGATCTCTAACAGGGGCCCTGCCCACCATGGCGGTCACACACTCACCTTCTGGAAGCGCTCCAGGTCCCAGGTGTCGTCATATCCGGGGTAATTCCCGGGGAAGTCCGTACTGTGCACCTAGGAGGGACAGAACACAGACAGGTGACATCACAGCGCCGTGTCCCCTCCCCCCCACCCAGTGTCCCCTCCCCCCGTTCAGGGATCCAGGACAATCTCCAGATCAAGCACAGACATGAAGGCTGAGAGCTGATTGGTTAGTTCTGTATAATAGGAGATGGGGGGGGGGGGGTAGGTGCCCCTAACATGCTGACAGGGCAGACAGATTGGTAGTACACAGTATGGGGGGGTAGATGGGGGAACAGCAGGCAGAGGCGCATTCACAGCGCAGGGAGCAGAGTAGATGTAGTTGGGTGGGCAGTATACAGGTGGATGTGCGAGTAGAAGGTAAGTGGTGTGTAGTTGGTGGGCAGTAGAAGGTAAGTGGTGTGTAGTTTGGTGGGCAGTAGAAGGTAAGTGGTGTGTAGTTGGGTGGGCAGTAGAAGGTAAGTGATGTGTAGTTGGGTGGGCAGTAGAAGGTAAGTGATGTGTAGTTGGGTGGGCAGTAGAAGGTAAGTGGTGTGTAGTTGGGTGGGCAGTAGAAGGTAAGTGATGTGTAGTTGGGTGGGCAGTAGAAGGTAAGTGGTGTGTAGTTGGGTGGGCAGTAGAAGGTAAGTGATGTGTAGTTTGGGTGGGCAGTAGAAGGTAAGTGATGTGTAGTTGGGTAGAGGGAGGTTGGTCTGTAGAAGGTAAGTAGGCGGTGTGTGTAGTTGCGTGGGCAGTAGAAGGTAAGTGGTGTGCAGTTTGGGGGGCAGTAGAGTTGGAAGGTCAGTAGGCGGTTGGTGGGCAATAGAAGGTAAGTGGTGTGCAGTTTGGGGGGCAGTAGAGGGAGGGTGGTCTGTAGTTGGGTGGTCAGTAGGCGGTGTGTAGGTGCGTGGGCAATAGAAGGTAAGTGGTGTGCAGTTTGGGGGGCAGTAGAGGTTGGGTGGTCAGTAGAAGGTAAGTGGTGTGTAGTAGGGTGGGCAGTAGAAGGTAAGTGGTGTGCAGTTGAGGGAGGTTGGTCTGTAGTTGGGTGGTCAGTAGGCGGTGTGTAGGTGCGTGGGCAATAGAAGGTAAGTGGTGTGCAGTTTGGGGGGCAGTAGAGGTTGGGTGGTCAGTAGAAGGTAAGTGGTGTGTAGTAGGGTGGGCAGTAGAAGGTAAGTGGTGTGCAGTTGAGGGAGGTTGGTCTGTAGTTGGGTGGTCAGTAGAGGGTAGGCGGTCAGTGTGTAGTAGGGTGGTCAGTAGGCGGGTGGTCAGTAGAAGGTAAGTGGTGTAGTAGGGTGTGGTCAGTAGAAGGTAAGTGGTGTGTAGTAGGGTGGTCAGTAGAAGGTAAGTGGTGTGTAGTAGGGTGGTCAGTAGGCGGGTGGTCAGTAGAAGGTAAGTGGTGTGTAGTAGGGTGGTCAGTAGGCGGGTGGGCAATAGAAGGTAAGTGGTGTGTAGGAGGGTGGTCTGTAGCGGGTAGGCGGTCAGTGTGTAGTAGGGTGGTCAGTAGAAGGTAAGTGGTGTGTAGTAGGGTGGTCAGTAGAAGGTAAGTGGTGTGTAGTAGGGTGGTCAGTAGGCGGTTGGTGGGCAATAGAAGGTAAGTGGTGTGTAGTAGGGTGGTCAGTAGCGGGTAGGCGGTCCCAGTAGGTCGCTCACATTCTGCAGTGAGAACTCTCCCAGCTGCACGCGGCTCCTCATCTCCTCCACCGCCGCATCTCTGACTCCTCCCACGTGGACCGCCCACCACGGCCACGTCCAGTATGGCAGCCAAACTCCGCCTACCTCTAGAACAGCAGGCCTCTAGCAAGATGGCTGTCGGGCCCCGCCCATTACATCCATTACCGGGGAGCTTCAGCTTACGGCTCCGCCCCTCCACGTCTCCTGTTTACTTCCGGGTGTCAGGAAGAGTATCGGAGATACCCCGAGAGGGGCAGAATGGCGGCTCCGGGGGGCAGAAACCTTCCAGACTGGGGGGGCTTCCAGGACGATGTGCAGGTGACCCCCAAATACCGGCCTAGCCCGCACTACCCCTTCACCTTCATTGTCCTCCAGTATCACAGAATACTGACCCCCCAGTACAGGAGACCCCCCCCCCCATACTACTCGCCATATGAGCCCCAATACTGACCCCTCCCCCACCTCTAAGGGTCTCCTTTCATATCCGATCCCCCAATACTGACCCCCCCTTCACCTTCCTGCCACCAATGAACCGCCCCCCCCATATTCCCCCCACTATTATACCTGACCAAGTGGGGGTCTCCTTCATATCTAACCCCTCCCCCATACTGATCCCCCCTCCTCCTGACATGTAGGTGACCCCTGACCCCCCCACCTTGGTTCCTCCATTCCACACTTAATAACAAGTATTTTTTCTTGCAGACCGGGGGCGGGGCTGCGGTGATTGACATGGAGAACATGGATGACACATCGGGCTCCAGCTTTGAGGACATGGGGGAGATCCACCAGAGGATGAAGGAGGACGAGGAGGAGGGGGAAGCAGACGGAGTCCCTGAGGAGGGCGATGAGGACGGAGCTTTCCTGGGCATGAAGGGGATAAAGGGTCAGCTGGGGCGACAAGTGGCCGATGAGGTGAGTGTCAGCTCCTGGGTCCTGTACATTACCACCTGGCCTGGTTACCCACCCTACTTCTCCTCACCCACCGTCCACCCAGCCTGGTTACCCTCCCTACCCTCCTCACCCACCGTCCACCCAGCCTGGTTACCCACCCTACTTCTCCTCACCCACCGTCCACCTGACCTGGTTACCCACCCTACTTCTCCTCACCCACCGTCCACCTGACCTGGTTACCCACCCTACTTCTCCTCACCCACTCTCCACATTCCTGGTAACCCACCCTGCTTCTCACCCACTGTCCACCCAGCCTGGTTACCCACCCTACTTCTCCTCACCCACTGTCCACCCAGCCTGGTTACCCACCCTACTTCTCCTCACCCACCGTCCACCTGACCTAGTTACCCACCCTACTTCTCCTCACCCACTGTCCACCCGGCCTGGTTACCCACCCTACTTCTCCTCACCCACCGTCCACCTGACCTGGTTACCCCCCTACTTCTCCTCACCCACTCTCCACCTTCCTGGTAACCCACCCTACTTCTCCTCACCCACCATCCACCCAGCCTGGTTACCCACCCTACTTCTCCTCACCCACCGTCCACCTGACCTGGTTACCCACCCTACTTCTCCTCACCCCACCGTCCACCTGACCTGGTTACCCACCCTACTTCTCCTCACCCACTGTCCACCCGGCCTGGTTACCCACCCTACTTCTCCTCACCCACCGTCCACCCAGCCTGGTTACCCACCCTACTTCTCCTCACCCACTCTCCACCTTCCTGGTAACCCACCCTGCTTCTCACCCACTGTCCACCCAGCCTGGTTACCCACCCTACTTCTCCTAACCCACCGTCCACCTGACCTGGTTACCCACCCTACTTCTCCTCACCCACTCTCCACCTTCCTGGTAACCCACCCTACTTCTCACCCACTGTCCACCTGGCCTGGTTACCTACCCTACTTCTCCTCACACACACCGTCCACCTGGCCTGGTTACCCACCCTACTTCTCCTCACCCACCGTCCACCTGGCCTGGTTACCCACCCTACTTCTCCTCACCCACTGTCCACCTGGCCTGGTTACCCACCCTACTTCTCCTCACACACCCCGTCCACCTGGCCTGGTTACCCACCCTACTTCTCCTCACCCACTCTCCACCTTCCTGGTAACCCACCCTACTTCTCACCCACTGTCCACCTGGCCTGGTTACCTACCCTACTTCTCCTCACACACCGTCCACCTGGCCTGGTTACCCACCCTACTTCTCCTCACCCACCGTCCACCTGGCCTGGTTACCCACCCTACTTCTCCTCACCCACCGTCCACCTGGCCTGGTTACCCACCCTACTTCTCCTCACCCACTGTCCACCTGGCCTGGTTACCCACCCTACTTCTCCTCACCCACCATCTACCTGGCCTGGTTACCCACCCTACTTCTCCTCACCCACTGTTCACCTTTCCTGGTTACCCACCCTACTTCTCCTCACCCACCGTCCACCCAGCCTGGTTACCCACCCTACTTCTCACCCACCGTCCACCCAGCCTGGTTACCCACCCTACTTCTCCTCACCCACTCTCCATCTTCCTGGTTACCCACCCTACTTCTCCTCTCCCACTGTCCACCCAGCCTGGTTACCCACCCTACTTCTCCTCACCCACTCTCCATCTTCCTGGTTACCCACCCTACTTCTCACCCCTGTCCACCTGGCCTGGTTACCCACTCCACTCATTTTCACCCACCTCTTTTTCCTATTTCCCCCTGTACTCTGAGTCCAGGTTACCCACCCATCTTTTCCTCACTCACTGTCCACCTGGCCTGGTTACCCACCCATCTTTTCCTCACCCACTGTCCGCCTGCCTGGTTACCCACCCTACTTCTCCTCACCCACTGTTCACCTTTCCTAGTTACCCACCCTACTTCTCCTCACCCACCGTCCACCCAGCCTGGTTACCCACACTACTTCTCCTCACCCACCGTCCACCCAGCCTGGTTACCCACCCTACTTCTCCTCACCCACCGTCCACTCAGCCTGGTTACCCACCCTACTTCTCCTCACCCACTCTCCACCTTCCTGGTTACCCTCCCTACTTCTCCTCACCCACTCTCCATCTTCCTGGTTACCCACCCTACTTCTCACCCCTGTCCACCTGGCCTGGTTACCCACTCCACTAATTTTCACCCACCTCTTTTTCCTATTTCCCCCTGTCCTCTGAGTCCAGGTTACCCACCCATATTTTCCTCAACCACTGTCCACCTGGCCTGGTTACCCACCCTACTTCTCCTCACCCACTGTCTGCCTGCCTGGTTTCCCTCCCTACCCTCCTCACCCACTGTCCTCCAAGTCTGGGTTACCCACCCTACCCCTCCTTACCCACTGTCCTCCGTGTCCGAACTACCCACCCATTTCTCCTCACCCTCTCTCCTAGACCTTACTTCTAACCAACCTCAGTGTGTGGGGTAGGTGACCTGCCCACTCCTCTCATTGCCTGCTGTCTATGCAGTCGGGGTCACCCTCTCTTTTTCTCCCTCAGATGTGGCAGGCGGGGAAGCGGCAGGCCTCCAAGGCCTTTAATCTTTACGCCAACATAGACATCCTGCGCCCATACTTTGATGTGGAGCCCATGCAGGTCCGGAACCGGTGAGTGTGACCCCCATAGTGGGGTGACAGAGGATCATAGTCTGAGGATTGGAGGATATAATGATCTCACACCTCCAGTACAGTCACATGTAGAGTACTGAGTACTGTGCAGAGAGAGGTAGGATTATTATTGTTGCACACGGGGGCGGTATTATTCTCACACAGCACATCGAGGTAGTTATGGTGTTGTACTGGCCATTCCCTCGCATTTGCCGGAAATTTCCAATGGCATTTTCTATACTAAGAACTGTATTTACAATATTGGATCAAATGTTCTTATGTAATTTAGTGAAATGTAAATATGATGTAAGTTCCCCCTATAGAGTTTTGAGGACCCCCTGTGATGACACCAGCATAACATCTCTTCCTATTTCCCTTTCCCAGGCTGCTGGAGTCAATGATTCCCGTAAAGATGATCAACTTCCCACAGGTGTGTATGACAGTCCAGTCATGACTAATCTACCCCCGATCTGGTTCAGAAAAAAAGGTCTCATGGCTCCTTCTTCTGTCTGCAGAAAATTGCTGGAGAGCTGTACGGACCCCTCATGCTGGTGTTTACCATGGTGGCCATTCTGCTTCATGGCATGAAATCATCTGGAACAGTCATTGTAAGGGGAAAAGGGCAATGAGGGGTTGGGGGGTGCGTTATCAAATAATGGATGTGGTACAGAATGTGAGCTACAGTTCAGGATGAAAGGGTTGGTTGGGGATCAAGGGTATGGTATTGGATAGATTTGTGAATGTGATATAGGATGGAGAGTTTGGTTGGGGATGGTGGGTGCGGGATGGGATGACTGATGTTGTGCAGGACGTTGGGTACAGTTCAGGATGAAGAGTTTGGTTGGGGATGGCGGATGTAGTAGTGGATGGAGAGTTTGGTTTAGGTGGAGTTTGCAGTATGGGATAGAATGCTAGATGTGGTATAGGATGAAGGGATGGTTTGGGAATGGTGGATGCAGTATGGTATATGATGGTGGATGCTGTTTAGATTGAAGGGTTTGGTTGGGGGTGGAGGATGTGGTATGGTATAGGAGGATGTGGGTATGGTATAGGATAATGGATGGGGTAAAGGGTGTAGAGTATGGTAGATGAAGGAAGGGATGAGATGGTAGATGTGGTACAGGGAGTGCAGTATGGGTAAGGGTGAAGGTGTGTGGGATGGGATGGTTGATGTGGTATAGGATGAAGAGTTTTGTTGGGGGGTGAAGGCTGTGGGATAGGATAGAATGGTGGATGTGGTATAGGATGGAGACATAGCTGGGGAAAGTGGATGCAGTATGGAATAGTATGGCAGAAGCTGTATAGTATGGAGAGGTTTGTTGAGGATGGACGATGCGGGATAGGATGGAGAGTTTGGTTGAAGATGGAAGGTGCAGTAATGGATAGGATGGTGGACACAGTATAGGATATGGTAGATGAGGTATAGGATGTACAGTTTGGTTCAGAATGAAGGGTTTGGTTGGTGATATAGGGTCCAGTATTAGATAAGATGGAGAGTTTGGCTGGGGGTGGCGGATGTGGTTTTGGATGGAGAGTTTGGTTGGGGGTGGATGAGGTGCGGTATAGGATAGAGAGTTTGATTTGGGGTGGTGGATGCGGTATAGGATGGAGAATTTGGTTGGGAATGGGGGGATGTTGTAGAGAATGGAGAGTTTAGTAGAAGTTGGAAAGGGGCAGTAATGGATAGGATGGAGAGTTTTTGTTTTGGATAGTGGATGCGGTATAGAATGGAGAGTTTGGTTGGGGATGGTGGATGTAGTATGGATAGGATAGTGGATGCGGTATAGAATGGAGAGTTTGGTTGGGGATGGTGGATGGGATGCAGGTATAGGATGGAGAGTTTGGTTGGGATGGCGGATGCAGTAAGGAATGGAGAATTTGATTGTGGATGGCGGATGAGACATAGGATGGAGAATTTGGTTGTGGATGGCGGATGAGGTATAGGATGGAGAGTTTTGGTTGGGGATGGCTGATGTGGTATAGGATGGAGAGTTTTGTAGAAGCAGGAAGGTGCAGTAATGGTTGGGGATGGAGGATGTGGTATAGGATGGAGAGTTTGGTTGGGGATGGTGGATGTGGTATAGGATGGAGAGTTTTGTTGGGGATGGCAGATGTGGTATAGGATGGAGAGTTTGGTTTGGGGATGGCTGATGTGCGGTATAGGATGGAGAGTTTTGTTGAATGCGGGTGGTAAGGTGCAGTAATGTGGTATAGGATGGAGAGTTTGTTGGGATGGCGGATAGGATAGAGGAGTTTGGTTGGGGATGGTGGATGTGGTATAGGATGGAGAGTTTGGTTGGGGATGGCGGATGTGGTATAGGATGGAGAGTTTGGTTGGGGATGGCAGGATGTGGTATAGGATGGAGAGTTTTGTTGGGGATGGCAGATGAGGTATAGGATGGAGAGTTTTGTTGGGGATGGCGGATGAGGTATAGGATGGAGAGTTTTGTTGGGGATGGCGGATGCGGTATAGGATGATGGAGAGTTTGGTTGGGGATGGCGGATGCAGTATAGGATGGAGAGTTTGGTTGGGGATGGCGGGTGCGGTATAGATGGAGAGTTTGGTTGGGGATGGCGGATGTGGTATAGGATGGAGAGTTTGGTTGGGGATGGCGGATGTGGTATAGGATGGAGAGTTTTTGGTTGGGGATGGCGGATGTGGTATAGGATGGAGAGTTTGGTTGGGGATGGCGGATGTGGTGTAGGATGGAGAGTTTGGTTGGGGATGGCGGGTGCGGTATAGGATGAAGAGTTTAGTAGAAGTGGGAAGGTGCAGTAATGGATGGGATGGAGAGTTTGGGATGGGATGGGATAGTGAATGTGGTACAGGGTGTGCAGTACAGGTCAGGATGAAGGGTTTGGTTGGTGATGGAGGGTGGTATGGGATAGGATGGAGGATTTGGTAGAAGATGGAGGCTGATTTAATGAAGAGTTTATTCTTTGGCACACAGGTGGAGGGCACACTCATGGGCACCGCCATTGGGACTTGCTTCGGATATTGGCTTGGAGTTTCATCCTTCATTTATTTTGTTGCCTATTTGTGTAACTCTCAGATCACCATGCTGCAGACCCTCTCTCTGCTGGTGAGTACTAGTATTCTAGTAATAAGATTTTGAAGCCAGAGTACAGCATTACAGCCAGGGGACTTGTATTTTCAGAAAGCGCTAAGTAAATAAGAAGATGTTTCAGAGAGAGTGATTAAAAGCAGGTTCCTAATGCTGTGCTCTCTCTTTAGATAAGCCATAGTGCTCTGGGAATCCTGTGTTATGGGCACTCAGTGTGACCCTCTTCTCTTGCAGGGTTATGGCCTCTTCGGACACTGCATCGTCCTTTTCATCACCTACAACATTCATTTCCACTCTCTCTTCTACATCTTCTGGTTGGTGATCGGTGGCCTATCTACCGTGCGCATGGTGAGTAATGTCCCCACGGGGGGCAGTTCGTATCCCCTCTCTATCACTGTGATCTAATTTGATGCTATTCCCTTGTCATCTTGCAGGTGGCGGTTTTGCTCTCACGCACAGTCGGTCAAACGCAGCGCCTGATCCTCTGTGGCTTTATAGCCGCTCTGCACATGTTGTTCCTCCTCTACCTGCACTTCGCCTATCACAAGGTGGTGGAAGGTAAGGACATCGTCTGTATGCCGAGGGGTCTGGTATGGCTTCTGTTGGCGTAGAGACAATATGAGCTAAAGTGGACCTGTCATATGGAAATGAAAGACGTAGAGTGTTCAGGCTTCACCTCAGAGAGGTCACATATTAAATCTGAACTCCGGACCTCTTTTCAGTCTTGCAGTTGTACAGCTATCATCCACGTGTGGCCAGGATTTTACTTTTGTGCTCTGGCCGAGTTCTATTCTACATCCTGGGAGCTTAGGAGCATCCAGTTGGAAGGACAGGGCTTGATTGGTATTGTGGGTGGAGTCACTGGGGGGGGGGGGGGGGGGTTGTAGAAAAATTCTGATTCCTATTTGTAATATTTCCTGTGCCTGCTCACCCCCCCCATGCCCTCTCCTTACCAGGTATCCTGGACACACTGGACGGACAGAACATGCCACCCCCTTTCCAAAGAGTCGCTCGTGATTTGTCCTTGGGCACCAACTCGGTTCTGAATGTGACCCTCCAGGCCTTGCCCGCCGAGTCTGGCTGATCGCAGGTCACATGACAGGAAGTGATGCAGATACAAAGGACTTCCTCAAAGACTGACCCTTGTAGGGCACGTATCTTCTAGAGATGGTATGAGGGTTCCAAGGATTATTTCCTCTGAACGGTGCCCAGTTGGGTTTGCTGGGTTCTTCTTTTGGACTGGATCTCTGTAAAGGGTCACATACCCCCTCTCCTGATACACTAATTTTATTTTAAGATGCTGTTATAATGTTTGGTCAGCCCCTCCCTCAGCAGCCTGAGCGTTGATGATGGCAAGTTTACAGGAAGTGATTTCTGGAAGCTATTGGCTGTCTGGCTAGAGAATCCACCTCTACTCATGTACAGAATTCCACCAAAGCCACCAATTCCTTTGTATAGTTGGTTCTCATTGTCTGATGAAATCTTCATCGATTATTTTAGGCTTCATAATAAATTTAGAGCGGTGTGACCCCTGAGTCTTCCATTCCTCCAGGGGTTAGGGCCCACCTCAGTTTGGGAAAGGTTAGTTCATTTTATATAAATTGGTAATGTTATATAAAGCGTTAATTTCAATCGTCTAATAAATAATTCCCAGTGATCCTCCCTGAAAGTCCTTGTTCAAGCAACCTTTTGTAGGATGACAACGTTCTGTTCCTGTCTCCTAGTTGTTCTGCGTTGTCACCAGGGGCGGACTGACCATTTGGAAACTCGGGCATCGCCCGAGGGCCCAGAGTCAGTAGGGGCCCCATGTTGTGCCCCTGGTACCTTTCTGATAGGCTTTTTTGAGTTTGGGCAAGGACACAGGGGCCCCATGATCCCCAATCCCCGGGGGCCCCATGAGTTGTCAATCCGCCCCTGGTTGTCACCCTTCCACAGGAGACTTTAAATGGCCATTGCATCACCCATAACACAGACACAGTCCACTGTGGTCACCATCATGAGAACCTGCCCTGATAAATGCTATGCAGCCATCTCTGGAGTGCATGTGGATGGGAAATAGCTGCAAAGATCAGCAGCACAGAGATGGAACAAAAGGGAAAACATAAATCTAAAAATTACTACTGTGTAACTATGGAGCTACAGGCTCCAGGCAAAAATTGAATCTTGGGTTGTAGATGGGGGATTGGACTATAGGCCACCACCAGAAGGCTGTCCCTTTAGGTGTGCTTTTAGTTTAGGTTGCACTTGTGTCCTGCTCCTGAAGGCAGCGGCATCAAACCCATCCATGAGAAATTCAGCTGTGTCCTCCACTGAACAAGAAAGAAAAACTAAATGTCATCCAGTCAGAGAATAGATCTACTGTATTCTCCCACTGTTTGGGGACATTGCAGAGAACATCGCCTTCTCATACTTACCAACATTTCCTTTCACAGGCATGACTTTATCATATGGTGGGTCCTAACCTGTATGGCTGCAGGGAATTGACCTGTATGCATTTGTGGATGGAGGGAAGTGTAGAAAGAGGGAAGGACCTGGCCCTGTACAAGTCTTTGGATAGATGGTCCCAGGCTGTAGGCTTTTGTGGATGGAAGGACGTGTCCCTATAGGCATGTGTGGAGGGAGGAACCCGGCCCCGTATGAGTCTTTGGATGGATGAGACCAGCCTGTAGGCATGTGTGGAGAGAGGAACCTGGCCCTGTATGAGTCTTTGGATGGATGGACCCAGCCCTGTGTGAAGGGATGAACCCTGCCCTGTACATGTGTGTGGAAGGACCTGGCCCCATTTGAGTCTTTGGATGGATGGACCCAGCCTGTAGGTCTTTGGTGTGTGGAGGGATGAACCCAGCCCTGTATGAGTCTTTGGATGGATGGACCCAGCCATGTGTGTAGACGTGTGTGAAGGCATGAATCCAGCCCTGTACATGTGTGTGGAAGGACCTGACCCCGTATGAGTCTTTGGATGGATGGACCCAGCCATGTGTGTAGACGTGTGTGAAGGCATGAACCCAGCCCTGTACATGTGTGTGGAAGGACCTGACCCCGTATGAGTCTTTGGATGGATGGACCCAGCCATGTGTGAAGGGATGAACCCAGCCCTGTACATATGTGTGGAAGGATCTGTCCCTGTATGAGTCTTTGTATGGATGAAAGCAGCCTGTAGGCATGTGTGGAGGGAGGAACCCGGCCCTGTATGAGTCTTTGGATGGATGGACCCAGCCATGGATGTAGGCGTGTGTGAAGGCATGAACCCGGCCATGTACATATATATTGAAGGACCTGGCCCCATTTGAGTCTTTGGATGGCTAGAACCAGCATGTAGGCATATGTGGTTGGAGGGGCCCAACACCGCCTGTGTCTGTGGATTGAAAGATATTATATGTAGGGGGAGGAGACCGGCATTCTTTGTTGGCTTAGATAACAATGTAGCGTGCTCCGCTCCCAAGCCCTAAGTCTGGTCACTCTTAAAGTGGAAGTAAAGTCCACATTGTAAGTTGTACCTACAGGTGAGCATATAATGTAAGGCTTCCCTGTACTCAGTGAATATCTCCCAAACTTGCACCATTTTGGTGATACACAGCATGCAGCCGGTGATGTGACCTTCAGAGCTCCGTGCCACAGCTGAGGGCTCCCGTGTGCATGCGCAGGAGTCGCATCTTCGCACCTCTGGTCATTCATACAGTCGGAGCCCACAAACCCATAAGGAAAATTGGGTAGAGATGACAGCGCTGGGGAGCTGTGACAGCACGGTGCTGGAGGGCTCTGTGTACAGGCAAGTCTGTCATCATGTACTAGAATGCGGTGCACACTAGTACAATATGACCTAAACCTGAAGGGGGCCCGCTATTAATTTTTTTGTTATTTTGGGCATTTAATACCGCTTTAAAGGCCCGGATGCTGACCGCCAGCATGAGCTCGTCTTATACCCCATAAATCACGAGTCTGGAAAGGGAAAAAAAGAAAAAAGAGCTGGCTGCACTCCAGGAAAGTTCAAAGGTCGGCAGCCATTGTTCTAGACAAACAAGCAATCGGACCCCACCTGGGATCAATAGAGGTGTCATAGCAGGAGGTGTCAGGTGGGGGCTCATTGCTTGTGTGTAGGGAGCAATGAAGGTTCCAGTGTTTGTACTCCATGGAATGTTCAAATGGCTTGTTCTTCACGGGCACATGTTCCAGTTGGGTGGGCGTAGAGTCCAGTACAGGGTATCCTCACATCCGAATTGGTGATGAGAAATTACCCCCGGTTCACATCTGTGCGGGTGGTGCCGCTGCGGATCCGCACGAAAATCCGTGCAGCCGCACCACCCGCACAGAGAATTGCGGACCCGCGGGCGGGTGCCATAGTTCTAATGGCACGCCGCCTGCACTGGGAAACGCATTCGTACTGAGAACCTCGGCTGCGTTTTCCAAAGTAGTGCCGGGACTTCTTCCCTGCGTGTCACGGGGTATGTGAGTCTATTCAAATGAATGGGCTCTCGTGCCCATGCAAAACGCTGCCGCATAGGTGTGAACCGGGGGGGGGGGGGGGGGGTTAAAGTGGAACTCCAGCCAAACACAGAAAACATCCATGTAATGGTTTCACCTGCCAGATCTGTGATTTCCATCTCTGACCCCACATTTTGTGTCAGTCTACCCATCTGTACAGGCCCCATCCTGAGGCAGCCATTGCCCCTTGATGGTTCTAGGGAGACTGGGTACCTGTGCATTCTACTGTATCCCATTGGGCCCCAGAGCCAACGCTGCACCCAGACGTCAGGATTCTTTCCGTTTCTGCTCTGTAACATATCTGTGTTCCTTTATGGGCCTGACTCCACCCTGAACCATTCAGGCAAATAATTGTGGGGTAAAATTGCTAGTAGCTACTCGCACAGTGCAGTAACCTTTTAACAGCCAATTAAAATTCACTACAGCCAGGTAAGCGGAAGCCTGATTGGTTGCTGAGACACATGGGAGGGGCTGCACCAGGGGCAGAGGTCAGCTCAGGCTGTACTGCACATTACCCGTCCCTAGGGGGGGCTCTGCTACTTCAACCTCCCTCACTCTCCAGCTATTTCCCATGGAGAGAATACTGCAGCCGGTCTGGGGAGGATTTTCCGTATAGAAGCCAGATATGAATTCACTATCTACTCCACCTCTGGGCTCATATATTATACATCAGGCTGTGTGTGAAATCCTGATATCCTCATTCCCTGCACAGCAGCGTGCCAACTGAAGGGGGATGGGCAAGCTAGGAGTGCTGCATAGGAAGAATGAGCAGATTACCTCATCAGTGTGCTGCTACTCATAGGCAGGGGGCATCCCCATCCCTCAAAAGGAGGGGGGGATTGTATGGACACAACACTGGTCCATTGTGGGGTCAGCCATACCATGAACCAATCATTACCTCCTCCGACACTTCAGCCAGAGAACACCCACGCAGGCTGCCCCGTCATCTTCCTGTACACTCAGGAGCTGGGAAGCAGCACCTATCCGACCCTCTTCATTATGTAGTAGACCGGTACAAAATCTACAGCCACCTGTACATCAGAGGTCCCACAATACATAATAAAATGATGTAAGATTATGTTTCTAGAACTTGAAATCCATCGTCCAACCACATTTGTGAATGGATGGGCCTTGTCATCTCTTCAGTTGTAGGAATTCTCCTCCTAACATGCCTGCAGTTACCGGTGCGAAAGCCATAGAAGGTGGTCTTTTCATCCTGGAGGAACCCCCAAAATCTCTTTCTGACCTACAGCTCTCGGTATGTTAGTGTGATGTAATCAGCGAGTTGTAGATGTAATAGTAAATTAAATAAAAAAAATCAAATAAAATGTGTCTCCTGAGTGTGGAACCTGGAATTGCTTTGCAGTGACAGCACTGTGGGGGAGATTTACTAAAACTGGAGCACTCAGAATATGGTGCAGCTGCGCATGGCAGCCAATCGGCTTGTTCAGTAAACCCTGGAAGCTGATTGGTTTCTATGAAGAACTGCACCATGCGGTTTTAGTAAATAACCCCCTATATGGCCTTTGGTGCTCAGAGGCAACACTAAGACAGGCGTACATAGATTGGAGGTAAACCTGAGACGTGAAATGTGAACAAGCA